TTTGAATATAATGATATAGCCATAATATAATTACATGTCAATCCCCCCCCACCGGGAAGGAAAGCACTCCGTGCTGTGCATGCTGGTTCTTAGCTCAGAATCTGGCAGCCAGGTGTACCGGAATACCTGGTGTTGTCCGAATTAAGCTGTCTCTTCCGGTGCACGAAGTAGCGAGGATTTATATTCTCGATATGGTGCGTATTTATGTAGGTGAGCGTACTCTGTTCCATAATAATCAGAATTATTATGTATCTAGTCGCGTCGATTACTATCAGAACGGGAGTACAGATTACTATTCGATCAGCGTTCTCACTTCGGATCCAGTTTCAGGTAGATAGTTATATGCGGCTTGATATCCGATTCCAGGTATGGTTTTCCACCGAGCCATGAAGCCTTGCGGGTCTTGTAAAACAATTATGATCAGGGCCCAGGGCAATTTGGGATTCGGCAGGCCGGAGTGTGGTATGATGTGTGCATACGCGGAGGACTTTTGTAAGTTTGCACAACTGAACATGCATGAGTGGGCAGTATATAGAATCGGTTTGGAGGCCTGAAACGATCCAAATGATTATTTGACAGTTTGATGACGGAAAGGTTCAGAGTATCCCCAATGGTGCCGTCCGTGCCGATGAAGGCAGAGCTGTACATCAGCGTACCTACTGTTGTACATTATTGTATTAAGGTACCTTTATGGTGGAAATGATCCTAAGACAATCTGTTTCACTGAGCTCCGATCGGACTTGCTTCTCAATGATACTTAGCCGGATTCCATATTTAGAGGTAGTTATTAACTTGTCTCCTACTATTACTATCAATGATAGCACATTTACCGCAACTACCTACCTACCTGGCTATGCGTCATCGTTAGAAAGACTTTACAAGCTTAAGCTTACGCGTTCCTAATACCAGTACTTATATCAAGTCCAACGCTGAGTTATATCACTGAAGCCATAAGATCTCATATATAAACTAAGAAGGGGAGTCAATCTAAAAGTAGAACGACAAGTAAACCGACTACCCTATGAAATGGCACGTACTATGATGAAAGAGGTAGATAGTACGTACGTAGTAGATTTCTCCACCTTGAAATTCCTAAAAAGTTACCAAACCTAGAAAATCCCACCCCACTATTTCTTACTGAATTTATCCACAAGCGCTTATCGACGTTGCATTAAGAGAAAGATTCTTTCATAGTTGTTCTGTTAGCTAAGAAGGCAAAACGGCAAGATGGTGTACTACTTTACCTCTAATGTGGTCAAACCTGCTGCCTTTATTTATGTCGGAAAAGACAAATTTGAAAGTATGACGGCCATTCTTCGACTCTGCGAAACGTGCCCAAGATCTAAAAGTCCCTGCTATTAGATGAGGATCTCATCAAATATGGCCTAGAGAAGGATGTCTGGTACCGCTAACCATCACCTATATCCTCACCATTGCGCTGAGTGCTAAGAGTTAACTCATGGTTATCATCCCAGGGTTTGTTTCCCACCCCACTCCAAAGACTCAAAGCACAACGAAGTCAAAACTCTTGTACTTATGGAGTACCCAGTTCCATGTCGATAATCTATCGAGTGCCCATGTTTACCTGCGCCTTCGCGATGGTGAAACATGGGAGCAGATCCCACAACCGCTCCTAGAAGACTGTGCCCAGCTCACCAAAGCCAATTCCATTGAAGGTCAGCCCTGAAGCACTTCTGTTCATGTGACAGAATATAAGAGTGGGAGTTAAAGCTTATCGGCGGTGCAGGCAACAAGAAGGATAACATCACAGTGATTTACACGCCATGGTCAAATTTGCTGAAAGACGGGTCGATGGCGACTGGACAGGTCTCATTCCACAACCCCAAAATGGTCCGAAAAGTCTACGTTCGACAGCGAGAAAATGCAATTGTCAATCGGCTCAACAAGACTCGCGAGGAGAGATTTCCGGATCTTCGCGCAGAGAAGGAGGAATTTCTGAAGAAAAAGCAAAAGGAAGAACGAAGAGCAAGAGACGAGCAACGTGCCAGGGAAAAGCAGGAAAAGAGGGAACGTGAACAGCTCAAATGGCAGAAAGAGCATGCCTACGATGACCTGTTCAGTGAAGAGAACATGCAGGCAACCAGCAATCAGGATCGAGACTCGGACTTCCTGGATGACTTTATGTGAATGAAATCTGCTAAGTATCAAAATTCATGCCGACCACTCAGTTGAACAAGAGCTACTGTAGTCTCTTCTTCCCTTAGAAGTTGAGGCTCCTCGAGGCAAATGAGCTCTCGGCAGGAGATGAGTATGGAATCACATTAATCATATGTGTGATTGTCGCCCAGGCTTTCTCAACGTTGGACCGATACTGTCTATGACAATCTAACGAAACATGGCTCCTATGGACAGTGGCTGCTGGTGCACCGCACTACCAGAGTCGAGATTGGAACGCATACTGGCATAGATGCATTGCGCGGAGCCGCTTTAAGACACATTTTCTGTTTACATCCCTAGAACGCAAGTTCACCTTTTGTAACACTTAGCGTAGAAATAGAAAATGTAATTGTAATGCTTCATTACCTGCATTCATCGATAAGTGCTTGCCACAGTACTAGAGTGGGCTCGTCCTGGACGTCGTAACTACTAGGATGCGGACTTGGCTCGAACAAGTGCAACCGCGCTAGTGGTGTTGACAGGTATACGGAGTACCCTGGACGTGGTACCCAGAGTAGCGCCAGCCGTCTGAGCAATTACCATCGCACCGAAGCTTCCTTGAACCACATTTACACAAGATGCCCGAAGGTAGGTTGCTGGTTGGTTCGAATTAATAAATAATATTCAAGATTTCTGCCCAGAAATCACGCTGACGACTCAGCAGCAGCCGTCAAGTCGAAAAAGAACAAGAAGAACAAGGGCACTGCAAAAAACAAGGAAGCCCATGTCAAGCTCGAGGACGGAGAAGAAGAAGGGCCTTCGAGTGAACAAATTGATAATCTTTCTGATACCCAGGAACCCGATGTTCGTGATGCCGCCACGAGATAGCCACAATCTTCGCTAACGCAAAGCAATAGGACTCACAGCCACCTACGCTAGCTCAGGCTACGCCTGTTGGGGCTTCTGAAAGAAATGAAATCGCGTACAACCAATCGAAAGGACCTGCGGATCCGAAATTCTATGATGATGCACATGGCAAAGAATCTGAAGATCCAGGGCCGCCCTCGTCGGACCGGTTTGACGCTCTTGTTCGAGATCGAGACTCTCTCCGCGCCGAAGTCACAGACATGCGCAAATCTTTGGAGGAAATACAGCTCAAACACAGCGCAGAGATGGAAGCTCTTCAACAGAAATTGGACGACGCCGAAACCAAGAAGGAGCACGCAGAGACACAGTTTCAGAAGCTCCTGGAAAGAGTGAACACCATCAAAGCGCAGCTGGGCGAAAGGCTCAAAGAAGATGCTGTATGTTGAAGACTTTATCTCAAGGACCTTGACCTAGCGCGTGAGCTAAGCAACCCCATAGGAAGAACTTGCGCAAGCCAACTCCAAGATCGAGGAGCTCGAGCAAAAAAATTCAAGCTTGAGAGATACCTTGGACGCGAAAACCTCGGAGCTGGCAGAACTCACCCAAGATAACGAGCGGAAGTCAAATGAAATTGTTACACTGAGAAGTCGAAGTAACCTATCCCAGCAGAATTGGTTAAAAGAGAAGGAGGAGCTTTTGGAACAAGAATCATATCTGCAGTCCGAGTTCGAGCAAGCAAAAGAAGCCATGCATAACTGGGAGATCCTCGCTATGGAGGAGCGATCCATAAGAGAGAGCCTAGGTGAAAAGGTCATCGACCTTGAAGAGCAGCTGGTCGCTCTTAAGGACTCGTATGAGAAAGTCGCTTCCGAGCGTGATTCTCAGATAGCCACTGTGGACGGTTTACAACGTGCTTTGCAAGAGATTCAATCAGGTAGAGCATATTCTGTGTATATGGGCGCTTCTGGCTGATTTCGAGGCTGACTACTTCTAGCTCGGAAACAAGAACTCCGTGACCTCGTGGAAAGCTCAAACACTCAGCTTGAGGAGCTTAGGCGGACTCTCCAAGGCGCCGAGGCGAAAGCTTTTGAGGCCGAGAAAGCTCTTCAGGCTGCTCAGAAGGAGCTTGAAAGGGTAAAACCGTTTGAAAAAGAAGTTAAGGAGAAGAACCTCCTGATCGGCAAGTTAAGACACGAGGCAGTGACATTGAACGACCATCTCACCAAAGCTTTACGATTCCTCAAGAAAGGCAGAGCTGAGGATAATGTCGATAGGTGAGTCAGAATTTGAGGCCTGCCGCACTGCTGATTTATTTACTAAAGTTACCTAGGCACATCGTTACAAACCATTTGTTGCAATTTCTCGCCCTTGATCGGTCAGATCCGAAAAAGTTTCAAATACTGCAGCTTATCGCAGCTCTCCTGGGGTGGACGGACGGTATGCGAAGACATCATGCATACCCCATCGTGCGAACTGTGAATGACACTAACACTTGACGACAGAGCAGCGCGAGCAAGCAGGCCTTGCACGCCCAGGAACATCAAGTACCGCCGGCAAGCTAAAAATACCGAGTATATCCATGCACCGTACACCCAGCACACCTACCTTAGCCACAGATTTCTTGGACCACGGGAACCCGAGCAAAGAGTCTCTGGCCGAACTCTGGTCCAATTTCCTAGAGCAGGAGTCACAGGCTAGTGGGAATCAAGACTCGCCGAAACCCTGAAGAGTTGCAAGGGTGGCTCTGTCTTGAACCGTATAGAAAACTAGCATCTTCTCTATGATAAGCCGGTTCTTATCGAGTTCCACATTCACTTATGCTTGCCGACTACCTTTGATCTTCTCTTCTTTTCCATTCTAGACTTGCTTCGTAGTAATAATGCTGAAATCGTCCGCATGTTTGCGACTTTTGCATCGAACAAACTTGCCCACCGCTTTCTTTCTGCCACCATAGTGGGGGACTTTGTTATTGAGCGGACAAGCCGTTGTTGGCTTTTTCTGCACATGTTTGGCCTATGCTTCGCCTATTCAGCTCTCGTACAGCTGGGAAGTTGACTGATACACGCCCCTCTTTGATTTCTTGGTACTCCAGCTTGACAATGGCTACCGGGGCTGGTACGACCTCTCGTTCCAACACCTATCGTCGTATTCCTCGTCGCTGTTAACTGACCAATCCAGCAGCGCAAAGGTTCCGTCCAGTGGTGGTATCGGGTCCCTCTGGGACTGGAAAGTCTACTTTGCTCAAGAGACTTTTCGCTGAATACCCCGATACTTTCGATTTATCAGTGTCTCGTAAGTCTAACCCCTTGCCAACCCTCACTAAATCTGCCTACGTACCGTTTCTTTTGGTGGAATTGCGCTGAACGTGTCTGTTGTAATTCAGATACCACTCGAGCTCCCCGTCCCGGGGAAGTAAATGGACGCGAGTATTACTTCACAACTAAAGAAGATTTCCTGGATCTCGTGAGCAAGAATGCCTTTATCGAGCATGCGCAGTTTGGCGGCAATTACTACGGCACTACTGTGCAGGCAGTGAAGGATGTTGCGCAGAAGGGCAAGATCTGCGTTCTCGACATTGAGATGGAGGTAATAATAGTCCTGCAACGTGAATTGATATGACCAGAGAAGGAGAGGGAAATCCATCATCGAATGGATTTTAGTTCAACCGAGACAACAGCTGACGACTGAATTGCAATAGGGCGTGAAGCAAGTCAAGCGCACCGATCTTGATGCCCGATTCTTATTTCTAGCGCCCCCGTCCATTGAAGAACTAGAGAAAAGACTGCGTGGGAGAGCAACCGAGACTGAGGAGAGCTTGACGGTATGGGTGTCCTCCACATTCCTTCACTCCCCCAACTCGCCAGACTGTCCCGCTGGAAATCTAACTTTGCTGCAGAAACGCCTTGCCCAAGCTAAAAACGAATTGGAATATGCTGCGCAGCCTGGCTCTCATGATAAGACCGTCGTGAACGATGACCTAGAGAAGGCCTATAGGGAGCTGCGGGATTGGATTGTCGACGGTGGTAACTTTGGAGCGCGTCAATGATTTATTGGGAATGTCTTAGCGTGTTTTATTTCAATCAGCGCTGCTGTATACCTCAGCATCCGTAGATACTGTCGGTTGCGATACTGGAACAATGCATCATCTGCCTTGGAAACTTCGGCCCACAGAAACCCATAATAAAGGAGGTCCTTTCGCCATCGACGAACATAAGAGAGATTAATTACATGAACATCAAGACTATACTAACAATTCGAATGTTAGTCTCTTTTCCTTCTGGAGACGACAAATCTAGGAAAGGTGGTAGACCCAGTCACTCTCTTGAACGGAGAGGAGAAGATAAAGCAAAACTAAAAAAGAGAACAAGGCCTGATGAACAATATGAGGGCTGAAAAGGATATCTGTAAAAGGCTGCTAGAGTAAAATGGAAGTTGCCGAATGAGAAGGCAATGGAGGAAGAGAAGGGGTCCCTTATCGCAGTTTGGGCGTGAACCGGAAATGATTGCAGTATGTTTATAGACCATGGCCAGCCGGAGCTATTAGACTGATTCTGAGACACACTCTCTAAGAGCACCTAATAGCCGTTCATAGTCATCCGTTGCGAGTTGCGACTGAGTTCCCGGTCGGCAGAAGGGCTAATAGGCCGGCTGCCAGCAGAATGTGCCCCCGCAGCGCTGCTCTCCTTCAAGGCCAGAAGCTGTTTCGCACGGAAAGTCTCGTAGTGAATCTGGCTTGTCGTTTCAATCAGGTCTTGGAGGTGAGTGCGAGTGAGAAAGTTTCTCAAATAAACAAATTCGCAGTGGGTTTCGTCTTCCACATTGATCACACCCCAGCGGTTTTGTCGGCCGCGAACTTGTTGACCATTAACGACAATAGTTCTCTCACTGCCGACGACGGCGAATGGAATAATGTCCTAAGGGAGGGTTAGAGTCAGGCGGGCAGGGAATACAAGCGGCACGGGTAGAGAAGGTCTGACCTTGATTTGGGCATTAACCGCACGCTCTTCGTCATCAAGTTCGTCATTATCATAGGGGTACATCTTCAGATTGTGGAAAGCGAATTCTTCCTTGATGCGCTCCTTGAACGCCTGGCGTTCCTCGAGAGTGAGCGAGTCTGCCTTGGCGATTACTGGAACGACATTGACAACATCTGAGAGCTTCTTCAAGACGACAATGTCAATGGGTTTGAGACTACATTTGCAGAGTCAGCAAGATTGAGCCATCGATAACTTTTATGGTCCAGACTCACGCATGGCCAGACGGCTGAATGAAGAACAAGCAGCAATGGATACGGGTATCCTGGATATAGCGGTCACGCTGAGCAGTAAGCTCCTTTCGAAGGTATGCTGAGTGCTGATCCTTGATGTATTTCACGATGGGGTCCCAACTATGGCACAATCAGCTTGGTCATCGAAGAGCAGGTAGGTTATATCTATACCATCTATCATTGTTGACTTGATCGCCGTATCCCGGGGTGTCGACAATGTTCAACCTCAGGCGTACACCATTCTCCTCGATGACTAGCAAACAACAGTTAGCAAGGCGTTCCTGTCGAAGATCTTATCGGAACCAACGCACTGTGGGAGACAGTCTGGATCTCTGTGGTCGATCGAACGGGTTCGTTGGGCGTCAGACGACCCTTAGAATCGATCAAATGGGAAGCAAAGATGGTGTTGATCAGAGTAGACTTTCCAAGACCTGTTTGGCCTATTGGTAGAGTAAAGGACAGAGTCAATGCGAGTTCGTTCAAGGAACAACTGGACAGTTGCCGCCCACGTACCAACACACATCACATTGAACTGAAAGCCACGCTTCAAGAGCTTCCGCTCAATCTGAGATGTGATACTGTCAAAGCCAACATGACTGCGAGGAAAAACAGTGGCTGGGTTGGTCGAATTCGAATTGGCTGTGGTGGCCATCTTGAGAACAGTGCTCTCGTTGGTTATGGCTTCCAAATCAAACTAAGGATTTGAGCAATGGAAAGCTGAAATATTTGGATGAGGACAGGCCAAGATAGAACGAACAAAAATCGACCAAGAAAGCTCCGTATGAAATCAACCGGTATTCTGAATGGACCCCAAGAATGCCAGTCTGGAGTTTCTAGTTGGAGTAGAAGACTACCTTATGGAACCCCCTTAATTGTTGTCACAACTCAGGGGGCCTCTATACCATATGAGGACTAGTGCATCTCCGGATCCAAACACAGCAAACCACTGGTCTGCTGGGAAAAGCTTCAGAATTCCGACAAGTCCAAAATTCTTGCGATCTTAAACAGGGAAAGCAACGTAAAGGCCGTGTCAATTCCGCCATTCTGTCTTTCGGTCCGACGGGCACTACCAATACCAAGAAAATGACCTTACGAATGTTTCAATCCGCCATCTCGTCATACATGTTCCCTCGCGTGCTTCTATCCTCGGAACCTCTATCCCCCTCCGCTGCAGGACGGTGGTCGCGGTCTCTACAGAGTTCTCCAATCCTCCCCCATCGACTACTGAGACCTGCAGCCCTATCATTGAACCTTCCCGGCATCTTTTCCGGCATCTGGGATTCCGTCCTGCGTGCTGTACCCAAAAAGAAGACATCCCACATGAAAAAGCGTCATAGGCAGATGGCTGGCAAGGCCTTAAAAGACCTCAAAAACCTCAACACTTGTTCTGGATGCGGTCGAATGAAGCGTGCTCATGTTTTATGTCCACACTGCGTTGAAGGTATGTCCTTGCCCATTGAATACGTTGGTCTATCGTGACTCTGATGAGTTGTTTCCTGGTTAGACATTAAGAAGCAATGGAAGCACACCCAGACGGCATGAGTGGAATACAACGGTGGTCTGAGAGGACAGTGAGCCGTGCAAACTGAATCATGAAAATCAAGGATGATAGATCTGAGGTATCGAGAGACGTGTACTTTTATACAGCTGGGATATAGGGTATGCTGCATGGCATTCGGCGTCTGGTTTGGTTGGAGAGCCATTGTACAAATTTTGTTTCCCATTTTCTCTTGCTTTGCTAGTGTATAGTTATCATTGAAACCTTCAAAACCGATAATTGCGTCGCACTCAACTCTCAGCCTCTTGGAATCTCCACATGGTAAAAAAGAGTGCTTACTGCACTGAAGTGTATGGGGATGGTGGGACTCGTGGCCGCTCGCACCCATGATCTCACCAGCAAATACCTACCTTATCTAGGTTATTTTCCCACGACCACCCACCACTTACAGAGTATCAGCCACCATACCCAATTTATCGAGCTTCACCAATTCAAACATTCTTTTCAATCAAAGAGTAGACACAAGACTATTCAAGTGTCCCCCATGACTCAGATAGATTAAACATGGTAAGACCCTAAAAGAGAATTGTCATGGCAGTCCCAGCACATCTGAACATACATAGTCGAAACAATACCTGTCGTGGGGTTCCGCGGACAATGGTCAGTATGAAGATTGACACTTTCACTCCTTTCCTGGTCTGAATTTTATTAACTGTAGTTTATGCGGGATGCAGCCCATCCTCTTGATATCTTCTCACTAGCTGTAACTGATACACAAATCCTGTCGGCTTCTGGCGCAACTGCGCTCAAGATTCATTCTACAACAGATCCTGATTTCCCGTTGGTGCAATCCATTGATGGTGCCCACAAAGTCGGCTGTCACCATATAGTGACAAATGGGAAAGGCTCCAGAGCAGTCAGTGTAGGCTTTGGTGGAGAGATCAATGTCTGGGCCTGCCACGAGGGAACTTGGTCCAAGGACGACGCTGCTTCAGGTATCACGATCCAAGTTCTTGTCGATCTACCAAACTCGTTTCATAACTTAAAGACTTAACAACTTCGATATGTTACTGATGGGTCAATAGGAAACATGGCAGGTGCAGCTGGTACCTGGGCTGTAGCTTTGTCAGATGACGGACAATACCTCGCTGGTGTCACCCAGGATGGACACATCAGAGTATGGGATCTCCATGCTAGCGGCGAGTTGATTCGAGACTACGAAACCAAGGGTAGTTTTGGCACTTGCTTGGACATGGTAAGTTCAACCTGCCCCCTTGTCAGTGGAGATGCTCATGCGAGCTCTGCAGTCTGTGGATGGCCGCCTTATTGCCAGTGGGCATGAGAACGGTAGTGTCTACATCTTCAGTACAGAAACTGGGCGAATGCCATTCAGCTTGTCAGGTATTTCTTTTTCCATCTCAGAACTGAAAGATTAGGAGTGAGATTGTCTGATATCCTGCAGGTCTGGTCAAGCCAGTACGGACTGTGGCATTCTCTCCTGGAGGGAAGCTTCTTGCTGCCGCTGGAGATTCAAGGGTGATTGTGCTTTATGACACTTCATCTGGAGAGCAGGTTGCAAATCTCTCGGGTCACTCAGCCTGGATTCTTTCTCTCTCTTGGAGCCATACAGGGGAGTACCTGTTGAGCAGGTCGGTTGATATGACTAATTTAAAACCCTTTAGAATTTACAGCTAACTAATGCAAAGCTCATTTGACGGAAAAGTTAAAATCTGGTCAATTGATACAAGGTCGTGCGTCGCAACTCATTCAGAAACGGAGAAGGCGGTTTGGAGCGCCAAATGGCTACCAAAGACTGGGAGGTCTGAAGGATTTGCTACTGCTGGAGCAAGCCGAAGCATAGCTTTCTATCGCGAAGCAACTGGTGGCTGATTACTGTTTGGGCAGACCCCATATTGTGCTTTCGGAGAAAAGACCAGACGAGAGGATTTCTTCTTTCCCGCGCTGCCGTTGAGCAAGTGAACTGTATTGTCCAAAACAGTCAAGTAGAATAGAAGCCATATCACGCTTCCTTAGTCAATAGCGGGTAACACCCTACTTGAGCGATTCGACAAGTAGCCTGCGCATCCTTTTCAGAAAAGCCCCAAAATCACGGTCCTCGTTCAAGAGGTCGACTTCCCGCTCCAGAGCTTCTCTATCCACTTTCGGCCGCGTATGGAAGACTTCGTAATCGCGACTGGCGGTTCCTAGTTCGAACCACGCTTCCGTGTCCCAATCTTTCTCCAAAAGGTGACTGTAGACGAATTTCAACCGATCTTCTCGTCCGGCACCTTCAATTCGCAAACATAGATAATCCTGCCAGAATTCTAATTCTGGAACGTTCAATCGCGACTGTGAGTCTAGATGTCGGGCATGAGCCTTCTGGGCTTCTAATTTCTGGTTGATGGCACTCTGAGTTTCTTCAATTTGTTGCTTCAGACGGTCACGCTTCGCAAGACGAGAGTCGCGTTCTAATGCGACGGAAGAGATAGCAGCGTGCATTTCGGCTGCCTCAGCCGCTTCTTTCTGGAGGGTCTGTTCGTGCGTCTGGGCCTTGAGATTAATAATCTCAATATCTCTTTGTCGCATGCGCTGATCCTCTTAATTTGGTGTTAGCGACTTATGCTTTCATTGAACTTCTTGGGGATGATTGGTACACACCTTGTAACTCTGCTAACCCTATCCTGAACTGGTTTCGCTCTTCTAGCACCTGTTTCCGACCTCGCTCAATGAAAGCATCGAAGCGAGCGGTGAACTGAGCCATGCGGTTACGCAAGTCCTCAAATCCGAAATTGATGCTAGGTAGCGTGTCTGCCATCGATGGTGCATCTGCTGTTGTGAGTGGCGGTCGCACACCACTCGTCGAAAGTGAAGGTTCGAACGAAGACGACATTGTGAGCAGGACTGAGAGTGTAAATTCGCCGTATATATTCTCAAGTCAACGCACCAGTCCAGAGGAAAATACTTAATGTGCTCGATAAGTCGATAACCATATCCGTGTCGCGTTTATTGAGAAGCGACTCTATCAACAAGTCATGAGCGGGACGCTACTGATGTTTGTTGTTGCAGCGCAACTGCCGAAGCTAACGGCGCTTGGCAACGGCTAGTAAAAAAGGTCCAAAAACTGCTGGACTGAACAACTCTTCTCCGACTCCCTCTCCATTCGAATAGCAAGCCAGCCATCACTTTCACCATCAAAGATTGTCTATGTTGACATGGTGACGAGTCATGTTGGTTCTATCTCCACACAAGATCAATGCAAAGTTTAGTTCTCTGGAGCAGACACATCCTCGGCCATTGACAGTTCGACATGCTCACCCGGTTGATTATCGGACTTATAAGTAAGAGTACAGAAACGCCTAATGGATGAATATTCTACCAGTGCTCTACATTATGGGCACTTGGGAAGAGCGATTTATCAGCCGGAAGCACGTGCTTGGACATTTTCTAGAACGCTTGCCCGGTGTAAGTGAAATCTTTTAACTAAAGAGAAAGGTCATGAATATTACCTTGGGCTTGCAATGTACTAACTCAGTAGCAAGCACCTTTCCTTGTTTATACAGGAGCTACGAAGACTACCATTGTTTCACCATTGACGGCGCCACAGTCGTCACTCATAGAGAATAAAGGCTTGTTACCAAGAGTGCACCCTGAATTAGCCGCTTGTTGGCCCTTAGTCGATAATGAGACAGTCTCCCACATTATTACAACGGCAGGTGAATCATGCGACCCTTTGGTATCCTCTCTCTTCGACTTGGGGAATGCAGTGGATATCGAGAATCATGAATCAGGCAATCGGGTAGTGCCGATCGCCATCACTGTTGGGGGAGAATGTTGCAATGTCATCTCATTTCGGAAGATAGAAGAAGGTACTGCTGAACTGAAGCACGGAATGAAAGCTCGAATCAGGATCCCGATGATCGGAGACGCTGAGTGTACCGAATGGTCTGCAGGAGGTGCCCCCGTCCGCCAAATATGTTTTGCGCGGACGGTAGAAGAGAAGCCGACATGGGCCGCCGCTCGCTTTCCTCATTCAACGATTGTGTTCAGACCTCTGTATCGTAGGAAGCCAGTTTCTGTGCACATCTACCAGGATGGTGACCCTGTGGTCCCGAGCCACACACAATCCTCGCGCCTTGACGCGAACCCATTGATCGAGATTTCGCACTCCCAAACGGGAGGTTATGGGCATGCCGACGTCACCTTTAACCCCTGGTATCAGAAGCAATTGGCCATTGTCGATGAGCGAGGAAATTGGAGCGTCTGGGAAATGGTAGGTCGACATAGACGAGGTAAGGGCAATTGGACGGCTTCGTGCGTCAAGTCCGGCTCATTACCATGGCTTGACCTTGGCCATGCTCAGAATATCAACGGCTCTCCTCGACACGATGGTTGGGCAGTAATCGAATGGGTGGGCGATGTCAACAGCTTCATAGTGTCGGATCGACGTTGTCCCATACTTTATCGGACAGAGGGTAATGAAACTCTACCTTTTGCGATAGAGCTTGAGCTCAAGAGGAAATCAGAATGGATTTTAGATGTCAAGAGAAGTGCTTGCAATGTGTCACAAGTGTTCATTCTCACAACGTCACGTATATTTTGGCTTGATGTTTCATCCGTTCTTGCCGCAGACTCTCAAAATGATGCTTCAAGGCCGTCTTTGTTACCCATTCTGTCTTGGCGCCATTTCAGAGATTCGGAGGACACGACATTGCGTTTGTCTTCTCTTGTCGTTTCTGAAGGTATGCCTTTACCCTTGTCTTTCACAGTGATACGCTAACAACATGCTTTGAAGAATTGTATCTTGTCTTGTACTCTCGGCTTAATCACGTGGTATTGGCGTATCGAGTTCCAATTGCATGGGATGGATACATGCATCTAACATCTATATCGGACCCATTCGTTCTAGAGATCCCTCCCGTATCTGAAGAGAGCGCAGAGACCCAGATCTCACCAAATGCAGCTCAATTCTCAACTCTGGTTCTCCGAGAAATCGCACATGCACCCTCTGCCGGGAGCAAAGAGCAATATGATGCTGCCGCCAGAATCATAAAACTGTTCACAATAGACTCGCGTCTTGCGGTCCGGGAGTCAATATATATTGGCCCTGCGCGTGAGAATGGGGTTAGTGCAGATGACCAGCAGTTGGGAAAGGACGCCTTACGTTTAAGAAAGCGCTATCCCGGGGTTCGGAGAAAGCAGTCTACTCGCTCGCGGGATGACTTTGTGGTCGACGACTGGGATGAGTCGGTCGTGAGTAGGGGAACGTTCACTGTCGCAGATACGGGGATTTCTCACATAACGCCACTGGCCACTCCCCAATGGACAACTGATTATAGCTCGATCTACGCCATTGCCTTCGGGAAGATAATTGCGGGGTCAAGTGAAGTCGGCGAAGAACAAGACAGAGGCTTCCAAGATTCTATCAAAGAATTGAAGGACAGAATGACCTCCGCAGACTTGACTCATCTTCCTAATAGTAAGACCATGTAGGTTCTGTCAACGCCAGATGTATGCTTTGTGATTCTATTACTGATACCTTAACAGGCTAGAAGTCCTTGCCGGAAGTCCTCTGCTAGACGATATCGACCAGAATGCTCATGATTATGATGAATTTCTTAACGAATTTCTGGCTCCGAGAATGTCTCGCAATCCCCTGACAAACAGTCAACTATCAGTCTTTCCCCAACAGTCGTTGGACCTATTCGGATCCTCTAATGTGAAACTGGTCGACATCTACGATCGATTAGTCAATGATTGGCTTTCAACCCTTCAGCACGACATCCCTGGGCGCTCGCGAATTATGAAAGAAAGGGTCATTCGCAAAGTGGCAGCAGAGCTTGCTCTGACGCAGCTCATTCTACGGCGTAAGCCGCTCAACGAAGCAGGTATTGTGCGTTCGATGGAAGACACAAATCATGAAACAATTGATGACTCGTCTCCCGTGCCAGTCAATCCTCCTTCTTCTCTCGAACTCGGTAAACGACGCTTATCCGTACCGAGACTGATTTCTAGTGATTATGCATTGGAGCCGGCAGCCAGCAAAACTACTATCCAGAGCAACTTTGTGGCAGAAGAGCAAGAAGTATTCAAGAGCACAAACGGAACGGAACCTGTCTACTGTGGACTAGCTTCTATGACAACCTTCTACACCCAGCGTCCACCATCTGGAGTTGTGGCAAACTTGCTTTCTCATTGGCAAGTAGGTAGCGACCCGGCCGCGTATAGTTGGCAAAGGATGGCGCAGACGCTGGAGGAAGAGGATTTGCAACGTGCCACTAAAGCCACAACACCGAAATGGCGCCTGCGGAAAAAGGCGTCGCAAGGCACTCCATTGAATTTATCACAGCTGCCTCCCGTATCCTCCAATGCCCTTGCCGCTAGAGAATGGGGTAGCCAGCCAGAGGTCGGCGAGCCGTCCAGAATGCTAAGGTTACAAAGTAGTCAAGCAATCGAGGAGGATCTACCCATGACCCAGGTAGAAAGAGGTACGTTTGGAGGTCGAGAAGCCAGTCGGAAAACTTCCATAAAGGCGAGGAAAAAGAAACGAGCAGCTGGCTTTTAAAGGACAAGTTGAGTCTAGAAAGTTCTGAAAGTAGAATATTTGCAGGGCCAGCTCAGGATCAAGAGTGACGAGAAGTGATTCCCACGTAGATGAATTGACCCTATCTGTTTATCCATGTTGCAGTTGACGAGCGGCCACTCTAAAGATTACTTTAGAGAACCAACAGCTGAAGAGTAGACCAATTTCCAAGGTAGTCTTTTTACAGACTCTTCCGCATAGTATGAGTGATTTCTGCGTGATTCCCTCGATGGACGCTGAGCGATCGGTGGGGATGCTTATAAATAGACTCTTCATGTCTCTGTTTGAGGGGGCAATGTCTTCTATAAAATCTCCTCGTCATTTCAGACTTGTCCCATGTGTGATCAAGATTAACTGATATTCTTCGTCTACCACTTGTGTAATTGCACATCCATTTTTCGAACGTTTCATTAACTGTAGTGTGCACGTGCTGTCCAGCCCCCCCCCATTATCCCTCTATCATAAAAGCGGCTACGTATCAGCTCCGTTATCAGTCTTCAATACCCCTCAACCGTCGAGAGCAGATTTGTTTTGAACCCCGGTTATTTGTCCATAAAACTCCATCCTTCCAGGTCCTCGTTCTTCGTACACCATGTCTGAGCATCAGTACAAATTCAATGTCTCCATGAGCTGTGGTGGCTGCTCAGGCGCTGTGGAGCGCGTCTTGAAGAAGTTAGATGGTAAGAGCGACCCAAAACACAGGTTGTCTTCCCGCAACTCCAATACAACCTCCTTCCTTCTCTTGCCCAGCGGCAAACTGATCCGTGCTTTCATGTCATTTACAGGCGTCAAGTCTTTCGATGTGAACCTGGACTCTCAGACCGCCCTTGTCACGACAGAACCCACTGTTTCCTACGAGACTGTATTGGCAACGATCAAGAAGACAGGCAAGACGGTCAATTCTGGAGAGGCTGATGGAAAGCCCATGGATGTTTGATTTCGGTGCAGCGCCCGTCTCCGGTTCATTACTCTGGGCAAATGAAGGCTGTGGTCGATGTTGGTACAGGCCATAAGCTCATCACGTGGGATTTTGATGCTCGTCAGGGCCGATAATGACTTGATCATATGGCACAGCTGGGCTTCATCAGGTCCACCTTTTACTTCTCACCAGGTTTCAAGATATCATGGCGATTGCATAGCGTGTTCGTTACTCCGGCTTGGTGTGTGCTTGGGGATCATAGTTGTTACATCCGGTCGTTTTTCAAACGCTAGGCCCATATATTCCTTGAACGGTTCCTCTATAGACTCCGAATTGCGAACATTTCAACAACCATCATTGGATTGTTACAACTGTGCCGCTGGGCTAGCATTGATGAACTCGTACATAATAATAAAGGACACAGAACCGGGTATCATTCGCATTAACGCCGCACAGTTGGAGAGTGCATGGAACCATGCATGATAGAATAGACAAAGAGACACCCTCGCGATAAAGAACAATACAGCAGCAGTTAGACACCCCCTCGGATGTCTAATCCACGATAAGGACTGTTCGTCCTTCTGGAACGGGATAACGAAGCCCAGGGTCGCCTGACCTCCTCAAATATGCGGAACGTCGTTGTTCTCTTGGTTGTGGTAGGTTAAAACGAGCTTCCTGACTTGATCTATAGAAACATCAGCTCACAGTGTTTGGAACGAAGAGAAAGTCAAGAGGGAAGGTTGGTGAAATATAGACAGGCATTTCCACCGCGAAAAGATTCTGGTCGAGATCATACCCTAACTGTTGCATTTGTGGTTCGCCACTTCTGCCATCCCGATCAAGTGCAAGAGAAGAACCGTATGTTTCATGTCGACTGTAGTAGCTAGGTCCCCAATCATTCACAGGGGCTTGATCATCAGCGCGTCGACTGGTTCCCGCGCCTCCATCATTTGGAGCTGTACGTGGTGGATTGACGAGTGCACTATATGGCAGATCAATAAATTCCCTGCTTGAGTGGTGTCGAAGGTGGTCATTAGTTGGTCCGGGAAGAGAATCCATAGGTCCAGTTGTTTGCACATGGCCGTGCTGGCGTTGGCTAACCAATCGTAAATCATCCCTATAATCAATAGGACGTACGAAGTCATCGGCATATATGCTTCTCCTGGAGGCCCCATAAGGATCGAAGGTGCGATGATGATGATGATGATGATGATGACGATGATGATGCTCAAAACCCTGCGAAACTGGCATATAAGTCGCTTCTCTAGCTTCTTGATGGATTCGACGATTTTCATAAACACGTCCAGCTTCTGAAGCGGGGTCAGGCAGCTTTGAGACAGCATTGTAGCTCTCATTCGCAGGGGCAGTAGCATAGCCGGCACCTGATGAAACGTGAATCTGCCCAGGAGATCTGTGAAGAGGATACAGCTCCCGGTACTGCTCCAGCTGGTGCTTCGGCTGATGCTCCCAGGCCGTTGATTTGCTTTTATAGTTAGAATATTGCCGTTGATTAACCACGACTTCTGGGACGGGTTGTGCATAGTTAGAGGGGCCTTGGGATCCCCCTGGATAGCGCTCTGCAAGGTAAGAGGATTTGACGGGTACCATGTATCTCCTACGGATTGGAGCCCCACTCTGGGAAGTAAATGATCTTGGGGAGGCATTTCCCAGATAAACGTACTGCTGTTTTGCATGAGTATCCACAGGAACAATGGGCGGAACATCGGAGCGAGGCTCGATGTAAGTAGCAGGGTCGTGGTTGGCCACACGTCTCCTTTTCGACGCTGGAATCCTAACATCCGATTCTCCCTCAGGTAATGAGTCCTGCGGAGCCGGGCGGCGAGGTGTTACTGAACGAATAGTGAATCCTCCAGATATCCTCCTGGTAAGTTGATCTAGGTGGGCACTTGGTGGACGCCTTATTTGCTGTGACGAAGGCGGGGTTTCAATAGATGGTAATACGTGATCCTGCGGGTTCGGCTGCATTCCAAGATATGGAGGACCAGGGATCCTCGACATAGCTCCGGGTGGGACTCTGCTCCGTCCTTGGATCTCCGTGGGACCACCGACGAAGACAGGGGTATTTGGAGAATTAAGCCGCTGGTCGAAACGCGCTCTCTGTTGATCAGCTGAAACGTGTTCCACTACAGTTCGATCCGCCAAGCGACTGGCATCGCTTCTCTGATTTGGTAAATGCAGAAGTGTTCCCGGATTGGATGGCTCATGAGATATCAGTGGAGGCCTTATGTGTGTCTTCTGTGCATCCTCGTGACCGGACCGCTCGGCATCTGTTCTCTGCAAACTTACACGATTCTCCATCAACGTCCGTGTCAGAGTTCTCCTTTGTCCGTGGTCAAGGATTTTTGTTTTAGATGCAATGTGCGGGTCAACAGAGACGTGGCGGAGTGTTGTTATGGGCCGATGAGAGGTAGCTCCTGGGTCAAATGTGATACTTTCCTGTACGGGCTGTCGTGCGGTCAACAGAGGCCCTTGATGGCCGGTAGAGTCTGCGTAAAACCTATGCTGGTAAGTCCTCTTTCTGTATCGGTTGAGGGCGCGGTCCCACGCATGGTATCTGCTGAAGCCACGGCGATCGAGCCGCCGCTTCTTCGGTGATTCAGGAATGAAACGGAAACCAGGCGGAGGTTCATCGTCTGAGATGTCCAAATGGGAATCCTGCACGGTTGGGTGAGCGAAGTTGACCGGCCTCGTCTGTAGTTCATCGGCTCGTTGGTGGCTAGAGATGATTTCGATACTGTGATCTCGATTGACCGAACGAGAGACCTCTCCTTCCTCGGCATCACTGTCGTCATCATCGGATATCACAATGACCTCGCGAAAAACATCCTCAAGAACCGTCTTTCCGTTTTCATCGTCACCTCGCCATTCCACTAACTTAGCTAACGTGGGCTCTTCAACCGCGCTTCGGGCTTCGTGAAACGATGTAGTCTTCAGAAGACGATCATAATCAGTGTAGATATGCCTTATATGTGCAACGACAGCTAGTTGTGCCCGACGGGCTAGAGGTAATTCAACAGCCGTACCGACTTTGCGTTGGCCCTTGACTCAAATTCAGTAAACAATAGACGACACGCTGCTTTCGCAACAGATTTGATCTTCATACCTTCTGGAACGCCGTCTTGATGATCTGATTCAGATCGTTGTCTGGTATATTTGGAAAGAGGTCTCTCAGCACGTCCCTAGCCTCGGTGTTGATTGTAATTTGTGAAGCCTCAGAGTTAGCATGTTTGTTTTCCCCAGCAGCAGCGTTGCTGTGAACAGGCATTACATTCCCAGTTGCTGTGAGTTGTAAACCCAGGTCCATACACACGCTTGCGACAACAGCGCTTGGGAAATGATACCCAATGCGGTGCACATGTTGAGAAAGGTTGTGGGTGTGCATATGAGGAGTTGTCTAGTCGTTGATTATGAGAACGGGGCGAGAGCAGAGAGAAACAGAGAGACTGGGGAGACGACAGGGGATACGGGGAGGTCGCTAACAAGCATACCGTGACAGCATAGACTTTCAGACCATCTTTTCGGCATATTTCCTTACAAGCACCTGTGAGCTGGGGGTTGCCTGCGGGGATGAAAGTGTAGCCGGGTGGTGCTTTAGCTTCGAATGATATCTGTCTTTGCCGTCAAGCCCATTTCCTCAATGTACTAAACAGGGAAGGGGGCATACAACACTCCGAAGCTTCTTTTTCTCCTGTGTGATAGATTCAAGGATCACCTTATGCTTTCGGAGAGTCCGCTTGGTGGTCCTACTTGGAAGACGCCTGGCTAAAGCCGAGGCAGGTCTCCGAAATACTCGGACCATATTGCGACTGAACGTCGGCTCTTTTTCAAAAACTACAGCAGACGGACAGCTTTCGATACTAAGAGCATCTTTTTAATCAAACGGTGAATGGACGATCGAATGGAAAAAGAACCCACTAGATGGATCATCGAGGGAAAGAAGGCAAAAGAACGAAACAAAGAGAGAGAGAGAAAAGTTATTATGCTAATGCCGAATCTGTTAGTCAACCATGTCTACGCAAATGCGTGAGCATGAACCGCAAATCGCAGCTCAAAGGATGAGATAGAAGGTTAAGCTTGTTCCTCTTCGGCCTCTGGATATACTCAAGCCAGAAAAGCGGAGAAAGCAAATGATTTGAAAATCAAGCTCTGTCTCAAAACAGTGAGTTTGAGACCAGTATATGTAGTTGTGGTAGTGTAGTTGGGTAGAGTGGTAAGATATAGAAAAGGTGGGAGGCGTCAACTGCATTTGCGGCCTAACACGCGGTAGGCGCCAAATCAAGTTAGCGCCCCAACTCCATCATACTGCAAGTGAACTTTCTTGGAACAAATTCCATAGGCTGAGTTGATTTATCTACTTTGCTTCTAGGGGATGCTCACCCTGAGAATTGGGTACCAATGAGCTGTAAGAGGTTGCATTCAGATACACCCTCTTCGATTTCAGCACCTTTTCAATCCCTTAAACGCCTCGTACACTTTATGCAGTAAGCTATGAAGTTGAGACTCCCAAGCCTGTGATGGAACAGAGAGCAGTCATCCATGCTTATCGGCATCTCTACCGACAAGGCCTCAAGTTGATTAATTATTCCGCTCCATCTCGGCATGTTCTACTTCGGACACTGCGATCAGCCTTTCGCTCCTCACCCGCTCGTGATTTCGATCCAAAGAAGATAGCCAATACGTTGCGCTTCCTTCAGCGCGCATCCGATGTCGCCGGATTGGAACACAAAGTTGTGAAGAATCTTCTGATGGTCCGATATTGGGAGCAACCGCAGGTGAAAAAAGACGTGAAACTGTAAGTCCCCTCCAGGCTCGCGGGGTCACCGGAGAAGCTGACTTTGTGCTTCATATACAGCTTGAGAGGACTAGGCAATGATCGAAATGAATTCACCATACGCAAAGATGCCAATGAGCATTTCAATCGCACACTAATGCTACTGAATGAAAGCTTGGGGACGTGTTTAAGGTGATATTACAGTCGAGGAGATTGTTCATGGGATATGGCCAGTTTCGAGTGCGTTGGCTCCCGACAAAACGCTGGACTTCCCTCTGAATATGTTCATATCGTGGTTCTTGCTGAACGTAACCGCCTGGGTTGAAATTGTTCTTGCCAACCTGATTCGCCTTGGACATCAAAACATGTTTATTCGACGATAATTACACGTCTCGATGATCTGAAGTATCTCCTAAAGGGGATTATTTCAGGGCCGGAAGTAGAGGTTGGTATTCACGACCAGAACCAGGGCTCACTTCAATGGGCATGACTCGGGTATGCTTGGTACTGATGCGAGATCTACCAACCCTATACTCTTCTCATAGAGGAACTGTCACTATTATTCTGCCTGTAGATAGGTACCTTCAAACCTAGCGATACTATGTATAACAGTAGATTTCCCCGAATGTTTCTAGTAAATACTACGTATGCTTTGTTCATTATTGTCCGAGGTCGATTCGGACCCACTACTACTTAAGGTACCTCACGCTTAGAAGTCAGGCCGCCGTCATACCTTTGATCTGGGACTCAAGGCAACGAATCAGCGGCCGACCTGGGCACCGGCGCGTCACATGTCTTTTGTATCCGTTCCGGCGACTTCTCAGAACCCAGGTTAATACCTTAACGGTCTCAAGCCCAGCTTTTGAGTGGAATTTCAAACGATTGCTTCCAACGTCAGATGTTGTCTAGGGCCCTTCATGAGTGGGCTCATTTCTTCTTTACTGATCGAAACCATCGTTCGGCAAGCCCGTCGTCTCTCAAATCAGACAGATTCTCATCCGCCTTACGATGACGACCTAGCCGATTCGCTACCGATTACACAAAGTAGCAGCTCTTCAGTGACCTACGACGGCAATGACCACGCCGAGGTATCAAGTAGGAATGGTGATCATGAGACTTCGGCGACAGGACTGAATGGAGATTGCTCGGATGCTGGGGGTACTCCTTCCGTACTTTGCCCACCGCCGCCGTCTGAACCGAGCAGTCGGCGTCATGATATGTCACCAAACCAGTCTCGTTTTGGAACAGCAATTGCATCACCGCAGAGCCTTCATGGCCTGAGTGATACTGAACATGTTGATGGCGTCCGAACGTACACTGCACCTGAAGTAACGGGAGCTGACTCTCCGTCTGTCTCCCCGCCAAATATGGCCTTTGAGGCAAATCCAAGTGCGCAAGAGTCACATCATTTGTCTGCCCGTCATGACAATCTTGATGACATTGGTGACCAGTTCTTGCTTCCGGAGGACGACGGAATGGGAGTTTTGAGAAAGAAGATCCACGCTATTCGGGACCTCCAATCCAGCAATGAGGAAAAAGCACGTATGATCCACGGATTGATGACTGAGAGGTATAATGCTTCTCAGGGAAAGAAGAACTTAATATCGACCTCACCGAGGGCACTGTCGTCATCTAGCCCTCAACTATCCGAGCGATCTGTGACTCCAATTTCTCGCTGCGGCAGCCTGTCCTCCGACCATGCGCCCACCAATCCAGCTTCAACAGCCCCGACCAGCCACCAAATCGAGTACACCTACAAATTAACCGCTGAAGACCTGGAACCCACATTTTTTCCTAAGCCCGAATCGGACTCGCCCGTGTGCGATTTTGAGGATGCGGATGCCGAGGACGTCGAGGTAGCCTGCTTAGGCTGCCGACATTATAGAAGGAACGTCAAACTACAATGCTTTGCGTGCAAAAAATGGTATACTTGTCGCTTCTGCCACGATGAGGTAGAAGATCATCACCTCGATCGACCGAAGACGGAAAACATGTTGTGCATGCTTTGTGGACATGCTCAGCCTGCCGCAGCAGTCTGTCGGCAATGCGGTGAACATGCTGCGCAATACTATTGCAACATCTGCAAACTCTGGGATAACGATTCGAACAAAAGTATTTACCATTGCAATGATTGTGGTATCTGCCGTATCGGTCAGGGTCTCGGAAAGGATTTCTTTCACTGCAGGGTAAGAAAGCCTGGGATAGACAAATATGGTTTTATATTTCTTTTAAGTGCTGACCTAGAAGCAGACGTGTAGTGTGTGTTTGCCTATTTCGATAGAAAACACCCATCGATGCATCGAGCGCTCCACTCAATGTGACTGTCCAATCTGTGGAGATTATATGTTTACGTCTCCTGAAACTGTTGTCTTCATGCGCTGTGGGCATAGTATTCACCAAAAATGCCTTTCTGAGTACTCCAAGAGTTCTTACCGATGCCCCATATGCAGCAAAACCATTGCCAACATGGAATCGACTTTCCGGAACTTGGATCGCACAATTCAGAGTCAGCCCATGCCCGCAGAATTCAAGGATACTAGCGCACTGATTCACTGCAATGATTGTGGTGCGAAATCAGTTGTCCGATATCACTGGTTAGGTTTGAAATGTGACATGTAAGCGACTAACACGCTCTCTCTTGTCATCGCCAATCTAATTGATAACCAGGTGCGAGTCATACAATACTGCCCAAATCCGACTGCTACATGGCGAAGTCTCGGATTCTCTTGATCGGGTCGGCGGAGATAACAGGGATGTGTCTGTTTCTCCGATGCGATCCTCCTCTCACAGTGCGGAAGAAGAAGCTGCCATTTCATTGCCTCTGGCCCAGTTGCGGGTCGATACGAGCTCTCCCTCTGGAGCAGATTCGAGTCCACGACTTACCGCGTCGTCATCTGCAGAGCAAAATGGACGTTTCTCCTCGTATAGCCTGACTCGAGGTCGTGCTGTCTCACCAGTCATCAGTAATTATTTCGGACTGCCTCCGGACCGTGAGTCCAACAGATCGAAGTCGACTCTACCTTTTTTCGGCGATCTCGCCGGAAAAGATAGCAATGACCATGCCGGTAGTAAACTTCGTTTGTGGGGAACAAATATTAATTACAAATACGGCTTCCTCGACCGAGAAACAGAATCAGCCGAGGGGACCTCCGAGGTTGAGGAGGAAGGAGATGACGGCGACGACGGTGACGACTCAACAGATGGCGAATCAATGGCAAGCGACGAAGCCGATTGTGGAGACCCAGAAGAAGACGATGATGAAGACGAAGGCATTGATATTTTTGGACACCGATGATTTCGCGATAGCGCCCTGGTTCCCAGGGACCCTCGAATGTGTTGAGCGTTCCGAAGGCTTAAAAGACAGCATTACAGTTTTCGCTACAGGTCATGTATTAGATCTGTCTAGCGGCATGGACGCGATCGATATTTACAAAGGGAGCTGTGAGGGCAGAAGTTGGCAGGCCCGCCTGCCTTCATGAGAAAGGATCAATATGGCTTATTCAGGCGTTCAGGGGTCCGTTAAATGGAACTACCAGCTTTGCAACTGGAACTACACATGAGTGTTACAATGCTGCAGAGCGATATGGAATGTCCAGTCTGCTTCTTTCTTGATCACATATATCCGATACTGTTCCCGAGGAGTTTTGCATACCACTAGCATACCGTGCACGGCGCAAAAGGAGTTATGGAGGCACCCGCAAATCACCCTGCTGGTGAAATGTGCGATATTAAAGTACAATATGAGCGATTTCTAGTCACTGGTAACTTTTGGGGGATTTTCTTCCCACAATACTTCCTTCGATTAGTAGTCTATCACCGGTTCAGAAAGTCATACATCTCAATATGGAAAGAGATGACTTCGGTCTCTCCCTCTGCGGCGCTATCGTCTTGTTCCTCGGCCTCAACGACCTCTTTTATTGTGGTCTTCAATGGCTGTAGTACGATTAAGGCCCCGCCGGAGACAGATCTCCACCGGAAACTTGCACCCCTCCAGCTTCTCCAACTGCTCTAGCTTCGGCACAAAAGTCACCAGAATCTACTTACGGCAACCCGGCAACGGAGGTGGAGTGTTCAGTGCCGTCGGTAATCGAAGGTCGAGAATGTCAGCGAAGAAGCTTGTCCACTGCAAGGATGAGGGGGAGGGGCCTGCTCAGTCCATATCTGAATGTCGCAACAGCATAAGGGAAGCTTAGCTCTCTCATACGATAAAACAGTCCTTGAATATAGTGACCGCTGCTCAACAATACCCGATTCTGCGTTCAATATGGAATATCCGCAAGAAAGCTTCAAAGCCACAACTTTCGCTCCGGACTCCTTTTGGGCCCAGCGCCGACAAGTTGTTCGATCCCAGACACTGCGGCACCAGCTGCAGATGATGAAGGACACTGGACGGTATGACGCATTCAAGTTGAAGTGGCATCCGAGCTATTCGGATCCATGCACAGTGTGGCCGGTGCCCAATCACTTGTTTTGGGATTCGGATGTGGCCAAATGGATCGAAGGTGCTTGCTATTTTCTGATGGATTATCCAGACGAAGAAATAGATGCGGCCATCAGGGAGCTTGTGGAAATGATCCAGAACGCTCAGCAGTCGGACGGATATCTCAATATCCACTACACGGTAGTTGAACCTGGGAAGAGGTTTACTAACCTTCGAGACATGCATGAACTGTAGGCTTTTGTCCTCCCTCATGCGTCAGACCAGAAGCTAATTCCTCTTGGATTAGATATAATGCAGGACACCTTGTAGAAGCTGCGCTCGCCCACCGTCTCCTTTACAGAAACGATGAATTGTTGTCGCCTATTCTGAAATATGTTGCGCTGCTTGCAGCTACCTTTGGAAACAAGGAGGGACAAAAGGCTGGCTATCCTGGTCATCCAGAAATTGAACTAGCCCTTCTGCGCCTGTATAAAGTAACACAAGACCCTGAGCACCTTCGTCTGGCCCGTTTCTTTCTTGAGGAGCGTGGTAATCCCTCTGGCGGAAAAGAACGGCGGCATTACTACGATGTGGAGGCTGAGGCCCGAGGCGAGCGTAAGCATGAAGTGCCCGAAGCCTATCCAGCCGCGAGAAGCTATTGGTAAGTCTTTCCCTTTGTTGTACCTGGAAGCAAGCCAGGCATTTGCGTTATGCAGCCCATGTGCTCGGCTTCAGACCACCTCTAGCTAATCTAGGATTGCCAGGTATCAACAAGCCCATGTCCCAATTACCCAACAGCAAACAATTGAGGGGCACGCTGTTCGTGCCATGTACCTCCTAACCTCAGTTACGGACCTTGTCCGCATCTGCGAGCCAAGCAGTGATGTTGCGAACAAGTTCTTGCCCGCTTTGCATCGACTCTGGTCGAACATGATTGAGAAGAAATCCTATATGACGGGCGGTATTGGCGCCATGAAACAGTGGGAGGGTTTTGGTATTGATTATTTCTTACCCCATGGAACGGACGAGGGTGGGTGTTATGCGGAAACTTGCGCAGCAATCGGGGTGATGATGCTGGCTGAACGATTGTTACAGGTATCGTAGCCCTTCTCTGTCCAGGCTGCTCTGTTCATAGGTTGGTTACCTAACTAATGCCCTATACCAAGGTTGAACTTCACAGCCACTATGCGGATATTTTGGAGCTGTGTCTCTATAACGCAGTCCTAACAGGAATGAGCTTGGATGGAAAGGGGTTCACCTACGTAAATCAACTCGCCTCATCAGAAAAGGACTTGTCCCGGCGCTACGAATGGTTTGAGTGTGCCTGTTGTCCGCCCAACGTCACTCGAACACTGGGCTGTCTGGGCGGTTATCTTTGGAGCTACAAGGTCAACAACGAGAGACAGAAGGCTACTGTCAACGTGCATCTTTATACCTCGGCTACGTTGCGCTTTCAGGTTGCGGACTCCAGGATCGAGATTACTCAGAAGACACAGTGGCCATGGAACGGGGATGTTTCTTTCTCTGTGAATATTGACGGTCCGCCAGTGAACTTGGAGCTGCGGCTGCGAATCCCTGGATGGGCAAGCACCTGGGAGGTTAGTGGATGATCCTTTTCTACTTTGACGACTCTGCAGATTGAAGAAGTCGAGGATCTGAACAAATTTTGTCAACCAGGTTACTCCGCAGCCTTCATGGCCGGATCTTCATGATGGGTATCTCTATTTACCCTCAGACTGGATCCAGCAGCATGCGGAATTCAGTCTCAGCTGTCCGATGCGCCCCCGAGTGGTAAGGCCACATCCATTAACGATGCAGCCTGTCGCCTATGTCACCCGCGGACCGATAGTGTACTGTGTCGAGGATGTAGACAATTCTTGGGAGAATGATCATTTTAAGGTACGAAGCAAGATCCACCAAGAGATAGAGGGAAGCCGCAGCTGATGATCCGTGAAGACAATAATCTTCGATATGAATGCACCTTTACAGGAGGAGGTACAATCGACTCCCGATCATCACGTGGGCATCATCGCCCAAGGTGGCTCTCGAGGAACTTTGGATACAACCCGTTGGAAGCGGCAGATTGTAGCTGAATCCGGCGATGTGGCTCCAATCAGCGAGGATGTGAGAGATTTATGTTTTATACCTTATTATCTCCGAGCCAACAGAGGCGGAAAGGGACAGATGCGAGTGGGATTACGGGTTGAATAGAAAGTAGGGTGGAAATGTGATTAGAAGAGATATATGCAGATTATTCATGTACTGTCGAATGCTTTCTCCGAGATGGAGACGTAATGTAGTCTGAAGAGATGATTCAACGCTGTTAAAAAACGATGGTCACATGCGTACATGTTCATTGAGGCCGCAACCGGATTTTACCCGAAGTAGCAATCCCTAGTGAAGATACAACGTGACCTCGAACACGATTAATATGCATCGGTAGATGATTAGCAAAATGTAGATACCGGACAAGGAATGGAACTGCGAACAAATTTCCTCGACGTCCATTTCTTTTCCTTTCCGAGTCATATCAGTGTCCCCTTACAGTAAGACACCTCTGATTGCAGCCAGAACTGTGCTTAGGTAAGCAGCTGGCTGCATTCGACAAGCTTCTCTGGGAATGCTGCAATAATGCTGACTGCTAAGTGGTAGATAGATGCTTTAGATAGCCTTGCTTCAGCTTATCAGAACCTTCCCCCGGAGATCAGCTGAAGACGTCTCTGCATAGTGACCTAGGTTATAATCCCGATCACTAGGTTACTATTATTACCAGTGATGACGATGATGCCATCCCACGAACCGAGAATGAACGCATAGAGTGCTGGTATCGCAGACGGTCCCTACTTCTTACCCTTCTCTTATAATCTATCTACCATTCCTTCATCCTTGTTTGGTACTTCTCAAATAACAGGTCCAACTTGCTTTATATCCTGATTTCCGCTCCTTCCTGCTGCCTTTCTTTTCCCTCCTCTCTGCTCCCCCGGCATTCTATTCTGAAACGCAGCACGGATCTTCCCGCTCCCTGGCCATGTCCCAGTCTTTGGTTTGAAAGACTTGGTTCCTTCCACTCACTTCCCCTCCTCCCATGTTCGCTTTCCCAGGGGTTAGCGAGTAACTGGAGATGGTATCACAATAACTGTGCCGTGCAGAGTGATAGACGAAAATAGAAACCGCTTGATCAATCCTTTCTACGCCCCGCCATTTCCACCAAGAACCCCTCTGCCTCCGTCTCGTTAAATGCAGCAATAAACGTCATCGGCGACCCAGATCATGATTCGTCGCAATTCAGATATTGAAATACAGCTACCCGATGCTGGACCAACCGTTGCGCCAGAGTCCGTTACTGAACCAGACGTGGACATGCTCCCAGATGAGCAGAAGCCCCCGCTGAACTTACCGGCTCGGATCGCTGCCCGATTCTCGCGAAAGTCGAGTTTGGCTCGACGCTCCTCTGCGACATCATCTCGTCGGAGCTCGATCTCATCCCTACATTCGCACCATTCGAACGCCTCTTCCAATGGCTCGTCCTCCGCCGACCATGTTGCGCAACATCTGCGGCGAACCTCGATTTTGGAAAACCGCAAGGCAAGGCTTGCTGACCGTGCGTTGCATGCGGAAAAGGTGAGGCTACGTGCTGCACTTGCCGCTGCTACCAAAAACCTCCAACGAGAGGAGCGAGCGCTTGCTGCTCAGCAGTCACGCGAGCGGTTACTTGCGCAGATCACCGCCAAGTGCGAAGAGGAGGTCCGCCGCGCGAAGAAGAAGGCTGAAGACAACCGAGAAAGATTAGCTGCAGAGCACGCCCGCCTCCGGCTGGAAATGGCTGAAAAGTTCGCGGAAGCAGAGAAAAGGCGGTTGCTTTACCAGCAAACTCAACGGCGCCACCGCACTAGTAGCCTCCCAGCGGCAGAAGAGAAAAAGATGGCTCAAGTGGTCACCAAATCTTTGACTCGGGATGCAGCCGCAAGGACAATTCAACGTGTCTGGCGGGCACATCACGCGAAGCTGGTCATGCAGGAGTTTCGAAGTCTCAACCTCACGGTTAACCGCATCCGCACCATGAATTTTGAAGATGTTGGGGCCATGCTCTCAGATGAAAACGTGTTATCTGTGACGGCCCGTGTCCTTAGACTTTGCGGACTGCAAGATATGGAAAGTGGGACAGTGGGAGGAAGAGGTGCTGTTCGCACTTTTCTCAGCAGCTATCTGATCGTGACGCATCCCGCCGAAGTGCTGAGCAGCAACGGTGAACAGGAACAAGACCTGATTTCCAAAGCCCGTGAGCTTCTTGAAGAATTTGAGCAGGTTGCCCCAATTCTCTCGGGGTGCTACTCACCGACGGTGATATCAACCGATCTTCAAACATTGTGTGAAGCATACAGCGTATTTTTCTCGGCATTTCATGCCTGGAAAACTCACGATTCTAGCGTCTTGATCGAGATCATGCTTGCTCAGTTCGTAGAATTAGAGTTGATATGGCAGACGGTCAAAGATGACCGCGCCGGGGGTGTTGCCGATGACTATTGGCAAGGCATCAGGCAGAATCAAATTCTCCTCCTTGCTAGGCTGAAACGTCTGGCTGGCTCTGACAAGGCAATGCAGATGGTGCGGGACTCTCTCAAGAAAGCCAAGCGGGAGAGAAAACGTACAACTTCCAAGCAGGCCATCCCGCGATCTGCCGAAGTAGCTCCCTCATCGGCGGAGGCATTGACCGAGAGTGTGGCCTCACCACTCAGCGAGAGCTTCAACAACGTGGAAAGTCCAGTCTTTCGCGAGCTGGATAAGCAAAGGATTTCTCCGCATGAGCGGTTTACTCAAGTGCTTACTGCTCTCCCTGAAAACCGCGCTCTGGTACACGAGCTTCTCATCAACAAGGAGTACAAAGTCGATGAGACGCAGTACACGACACCACGCAAGCAGATTATGAAGCATATGTGCGATATGATGCGTAGAGACGTGGACGCTGGAATGGGTGCAAACTGGATGGTGGCCATGGCCACAGTGATCCAAGATCGACTGCTGCGCTTGCTGCGACCCGGAAACTCACTCCACGTCCTGATCAGCGAGGTACTGGACCCAAAACTTGTGGAGGGCCAATGCAAAGCTGGCACCTTTTCTTATGATAGATTTTTCGATTTCATGAACAACGTTCTGCCAAAGCTTTGCGCCCCTTATCGGGATGCTGCGGTCAAGGCGTTCATCGAGGACTCCTCGGGCGATGCTATTGATCGTCTGGCGAGGCTGATGGGCCTCATCGATCTGCTGTCTCTGGATCATACCAATTTCATGATCCAGGTTGCTGCTCCGCAGCTGATACAAGAGGCTCCCGGGTACGAGCAAAGGACTTTTGAGCGGGGCATACAGGACGGGTCTATTAGCTTGGGCAAGTGCCGACGATTCTGGCGGACGAATCGCAAAATACTTGCGGATGAGATGCAAAAACGGGATCCTGAGAATATCAATGGAGAGCCTCACCCGACGGCTGCCAAGATTTATGCACAAGGTCTTGTGGACCTTGTGCTGAGCAACGCGCCTGTATCCGAGGACCTCATTCCTGAGACTCTGGACCTGGACCGTGAGCGGCTGGGGAGAATGCATGCGCGAGCGTTCAGAATCGTAGCCACCGCCTCGATTCTGCTTACAGCAAAGAACCTCCTTAAGCGGGATGTACGGTCACAATGGAAGGCTGAAGCGGACCGGATCTTATCTCTAGACTTCAACGATATTCAAGCGGATCGAGTGCAGTCAATCCTCGAATCGACGCATCCCATGCCTTCGAGCGCGAGTGCTCAGCTTTCAGCAACAATCCGGCGAGTTTTGGCGCCTGTGGCTACGGCGTGTGCTGCAGTTTCGCCTGGATCGATTGAAGTCCAAAGTGACCTTGTCGCGCCAAGATCCTCATCATCTTTGGAGTCGGATATCTCTTCAGGATCCGGCCAAATGGCGTCTGGGCTAACCAGCTTTACCGACCCGGTGGCCCGACTCATCCTGTCTCGCCTTCGCGCTCATGTCTTTTCTCGTCTGAGCGCTTCAAGCGCCAGTGAGCGGGTACGGGCAACAACTACAGCAAGTCAGAGCCTGGCGGGAGCAGGCATGCCGGAGTTCGTCAACGAAGTTGGACAACTGACTGAGGAACTGGAGAAGGTTCGAGAGGTGGACTGGCTCTGCCATGGCATGGTCTACGATCAGATATTGGAGGAAGGCATAGGCTTAGGAACAGGAGTATGAAGGCGTTTGGTATTTTGCCTCAATGGATCTTTGTCTTGGATATTTATCTTTACTAGATGGTTTGGTTTGGTTTTCTCTTGCCCTTGTTTTCAACAATTACTAGATTCTGAGTCTAAGCATAATGCCACGAATGATTCAACGAGAATGGAAGAAATTTGTGCAGTCGTGACAGTCTGTAGCTTTTTTCAATCCGTCCCATCTTTTAGCGCGCGAGCCTCACTTTCTTTGATATAACAAATCAATCTACACCAAGGCCATCTGAAAGCAAGTTCAAACAGTCCAGACGTAATAGCCTTGAAGGGAATTCTCCATTGACCTTGCCATATCGGAGCGAGGAGCGACCCAGCTCTATCAATGATCCGCTATTAGAAAAACCCCACCTACTGCTCTGTCTTCGGGACTCCGATCACAGACAACAGCGACAGCCCCAACGCAAGAACAAGGAGTTGAGAGAACTAGGGAAAAGAAATATATCAGAAAAGCCTACGATATATGGTCATGGCAGCCGAATCATCCTCCCAGTTGTCTCTCCTATCGGATCTCACACCTCCATCTCTCGAACGTACCTGGCTGAGCGCACCGCACCCCACTCTCCCGATCGTTGCGACATGCAGCTCCGACAAAACGGTCCGTGTCTACTCATTGACTAATTTCCGGCTTCTTTCGACTATAACGGGCGGTCATAAGCGCAGCGTAAGGACATGCGCCTGGAAGCCGCACGTCAAGGGGGAAAGCGTACTTGCCACGGGCAGCTTCGATGCGACCGTCGGCATCTGGCGACGCTGGGATAGCTACGGGCAGACAGAGCGTGGTATAGAGGATTGGCACCGTGCCGACACCCATGACCATGCGGATGACATGACAAATGGCAACGGGGCAGCAGGAATCGACAACGACGGCGGCGACGGCGCCGACGAGGACGACGAGGAGTGGCGGTTCGCCGTGCTGCTAGACGGGCACGACAGCGAGGTCAAGTCGGTATC